CGCCCTAGAAAACGTCAAACCGACGGATTCACCTATTTATAGACCATCGAGTATGAGGTTCTCGCGGTACGAGCCCCGTTCGGAAAACATCCGCCGGCCGCTATATCTCGGGGGGATCGTCGAACGGGCCGACGACGAGAGGAGCGAGTGCGGCGAGCAGCGTGGAAATCGCGGACGGAAACCGGCGCGCGGCGCGGAGCGGCGCGCAGGGGCGTATTCCATTTCCTACGACCTACGTTAACGCGCGCTCGTCGCGTCTCGTCGGCGAGCGAGCGAGCGAGCGAGCGCGAACAATTCAGAGATCGGACGCCGCATTCCTCCTATTCCTTCCTTTTCTCTTTCTCTCTCCTCCTCCTCGTCCGCGGCGCTTCGTCGCCGGCGGGTCGCGGACTCGGCCACGACGCGACAGAAGAGGACAGGCGGAAGATCGAGAGCGTGGGAGAAGCAGCGGGCGACCAGCCGGCGTTCGGCCGACCCCCTCGCACTTCGTCCACGGGAAATATAACATTCTACTACTCACCCATTTCTCGGTGTGAGCGGTGTGCCTACTGCTGCGAGCTGCGGAACGACGGCGGGCGGTCTACGTCGCGCGCGCGGATCACGCGTTCATAGCACGCGGCACTGGACGGCGGAGCGGACGCGCGCGACGCGCGTTTTCACTTAGGAAATCGCGGATAGAGGCGAGCGACGTGCCCGCCACGGTACGCAGGATAGCCGACATTGCGGCGCCCGAGCGCCGCGCCGCGCCGTGCTCGGTTTAGGTGGCACGCAGCTCGCGCGTGCGCGCGGCACGCCGGCCCCGCGTCGCGCGGCGCGAGATTCGAACGGCCGCGATTCGTACTACGTGAACGTGAATCGCGAGTTCGATTCACCCTCGCGACGCTCGTCGACGTCATGCGTCCCTGTTTAACTTTCGATAAACAGCGAGGATGAAATTATTTATATGAATCGAGCCGCATCCTTCGAGCATTTGAATCCTTTAATCTCGGAGTCGATGGTGTGTCACGAAATGAAGTAAAAATTACAAAAGTATAAGGATATTTATTAGAATGTTTATAATTTTCATTCTATTTCATTTCAGAGAGTCTTTTAGTCTCTTAGTAAATTTGCTTTTGTTATTTTCATCTTGTTTTAAGATGCACGACAGATGCGCTATAAAGAGCGATATAAGGCTGCTTTCCTTTTAGGAGACACATAATTCACACAATATTGTCCTGTCCTTGGAATTCAGGATATTACAAAGACAAATCGATATTTGTGTTGATTATATTTTCTATATATATAATAACAGTAATATTAATTATCACGTGCCATTTTGTCGCAAAATACGATCGAAGGTTCCGCATTGCGAGTGATAATTCTGTTACTTTCGAATAAAAAGATTCTTACCAAAAAATAGTACTTATGCGAAATCTATTTATATCAGGAAAAAGTCGAATCTCAAATTTAATTGAAAATTTGGCATAAAACGATGATAGATATTAAATATTCGCACCAATTTTCAATATTTATTTCGTTTTATACTTGCAATTTACGTCAAACGATCTTTGTAAATGTGTGTGAACATATACTGTATACATGAAAATTTTGGGACTACTCTAAATAATTGTCATTTTATATAAAATATACATGAATCGTAAACAAAATAGTATGTCCCTCTAGTGTGTGTTCGAATAAATAGTTGCATATGATTTTATCGTCGCACGATAAACATTACATTACTTACATATTCTACTGTCGATAATTCAGTTTTCTACTAAACGAATTAATTATTTGTACGTTATCAGGGGAGCATATATATCGATAAAATAGAAAAACGCATTATTTATGTTTAAAAAAACATTTAGAATAATAAAATTGTCATACACACAAATTCTGTAATTAGTATATATTGCTCGACTAATAAAATACATAATTACAATGTATAACTTAATTTTTGTTCCTACTTTCATGTAATAAAGGCGAGGACAGGAAACTTTTCTTTATTTTTCCTTCGGTTTCCTATTATGAGATACCATCTCATATAAGGAAACCTTTATGTCTCGTATTAGGAACCCTTGTTTGAATGAGCAAAATCGGCTCTTTTGATAAAAAATTTTACGTACGACAAAGTATAGCTACTATCGATCGCTAACTTTTTTTTTTTTATGGTAAATCTTAAATATATTTCCTGTAAAACTGACATAAAAATAAGAGTTAAGGTTGCAAATTAAATAAATTACAAGTCTTTAAAAAAATGGTATCTTATATTAAGCGACTTTATCCTACACTGTAAAAAATAAAATGTTAATTTTATCTCAAAAACGTTGAGTAGATTTTCTGAGACATGCAAAAATGTTAAGATATTAACACAAAAATACTAATTTTAACATTTCTGCGTGTCTCAGAAAATCCATTCAACGTCTTTGAGTTAAAATTAACATTTTATTTTTTACAGTGTACTATTCCATTTAAAAAAACAGATTTGATCTTTGCCTATCCTTTACGCCTCCATCTACAAAACAATTATTGACATCACATTATGTGCCCCTCGAAACCAAGCAACTTTCGCCTGACACTTTTCCTTCTATTGTTAAAAACAAGCGTGTTATTCAGGTAACCTGTTTTAAATGTCCCACCCTGTATGTATATTTTTGTTAGATCTATTAAATTTTTTATTTAGTATTTATAAATGTTTATTATAATTTAGTTTTCGAATGTTTCTTTTTAACTCTTATTGCCTTTAATATCACACAATTATTATTCTTTTATATATCAATTAGATTAAAAAGGATTAGGAGAAACTAAGAGTATTTAAAAACATTAAAAGCAGAGGCTGTGCAGAAATAATTCAAATAATTAAATAAAAAAGATTGCAGAAGGAGTTTCAAATACATAGAACAATATGCGGATAATCAGTTTAACAGAGATGCACGGTAAAAATTAAATTATTTCAATTAACGGAATGCGCATTATGCAATTATCCCACATCGACGCTAATTACGGATTTTTCCGTAGAACGGAAAAAAAAAAAAAAAAAAAAAAAAAAAAAGAAAAAGGATCAAAACAGGCCGGTGCGGTTATTAACGTTAATTATCCAGAACGTCCCCTAATTTGCATCTAATCACTATATATACACCGTATATAGATTCTCACTCAGGATTTCAATTAATTAGCGACTTAGCTATGGAGTCTTACGTCGTCCGCATTTACGAAGACGGCAGGATACAGGTGGCGACAGGGGTGTCGTGGGGCTCTATCTCGATTCTGCGCTTCTCCCCCCCCCCCCCCCCCACGTGTCGCCCACCCCGTGCTGGGCGCGCATCGACAACTGCAGCGGCCCCGAGAGGGAGCGCGCGTTAATTGGTGGGACCAATTAATTCCGACAAGTTCGCTCCGATGTGATTAGCGCGCATACGTGGCAACGACGACGGTGGTAGTGGCGGTGATGTGCGGCGATATATAGTGATGGTGGTGGTGGCGGGTGCTGGCGGTGGTGGTGCGTGTGCGCGGTTTACACAGCTCTCCTGTGCCCGACGCCCTTCTGCATGCACCGCACCGCACTGTCTCCACCCGCCGCCGCCGCCGCCGCCGCCGCCGCCGTCGCCGATCTGCCTCCGGAAACCGAGGAACCTGTTCCGCCGCGCGAGACACTCACCGCTTTTCTCACATTCTCGCTGCTTTCGCACGAAAGATATCGCATCGGCGCGACGCGACGCGCCGGTTGCGGACACAAATTACCGGAGCTACCGCAGCTACCGGGGCTACGTGACCGCGAAGAAGCGATCTCTCATGTCCCCCGCGAGTCGGGTCCCAATTGCGCGAGCGCGATTTATCGTCCCGTTCGCCAGTATAGACGCGCAATAGATCCGTATAGGAATCTGAAGTTAATTGTTGATCTTGGCTCTTTGTGTTAATAATGAATTTTTCATTCGTCTCCGTTCATCTTGTTGGAACGATAAAGATCGAACGAAACAACAATGTCCTACACTGTAAAAAAAAAAAAACTGCGTAAAATTACATAAATGATATGTGTGACAATTACACAATTTATAGTGGGTAAAATTGTGTGATTTTACAAAAATTATTAGTTCATTTTACCTCTGATAATGTAAATTGATCTTTACATTGGATGGCAAATTACAATTACAAATTAAGAAATTAATTTCATTTCAATATAGAAAATTGACAAACGCGTGGAAGTTTACAACTATTATAGTGGGTCCCAAAATTACCCGCTACGACTGTTGTAATTTACATGAAATTTTTTTTACAGTGTATATTGGAAATCACAAACTGCCTTTTATTCCTGCATTAGACTGCACTAGAATATTTCTTCTCATCAGCTATACAGAAAGCATTGCATCTTTGATTAACGGATTCCAACTATTGATTTATCCCCACGCTGCACAGGAAGGAAGGTTTTGTTAAAGTTTCTAAAAATTTAGTTAAACACACAGACCTGAAAATAATTTTGTTGGACTATCAAAGTAATTTAAGTAGAGGATACTGAAACTTTCATTATTCTTGAATTATCTACATATATTATTATTTTAATCGTCCAACAAACTTATTTCAGATCTGTGTTTATACGCAAATAATTTATAGATACTTCAGCAAAATCGTCCTTCGCTTCCATATATAATCTACTTATTTAGCTCGAATAAACGTAATCCTTTTATAGGACAGTAGCTGCGCTGTTTTTAGAAATAATGCTAACTACTATTGATCTAGCTTACATCGATAACGAGTTTATAATCCATCTCAATCACCTATTGGAAGATGATGTATTTAGATGCAAACATATACAATATTATCTGTACCTGAAGAATATAGTAATTGTTGAGGGAGTAACATTTCATGAAAGGGTATAGTCGGATGAGCGTCGCGAATTTGCCTAATAAAACGCGTCTGGGACGATTTAATCGAGATCCCGCGTCAACCGGGGGTCTCGATATACAGTTCGGACTCGCATTCGAAATTAGGCTTGGCCGGCGTGCGTGTACCGCGCGCGTCCGGACGTTTCCGCCTATGAGTCTAGAAGGTCAGGAGCTCTCGGGGCCGCGCCGGCGAAGGTAAGAGTCGGCGGTTGATTTATCGGCCAATTAGTCCACCGTATCGGGTGCGCTTCTCTGGTGCGTCTCATCTTACAGACGATATCCCGGTAGAAGACCGGCGGCGCATGGGTTTAAAACGCCGCGCCGGGTGGAGGAGGGCATCAGGGGCGTACCAGCCGTACGCTCCCCGTTGAAGGCACGAAGCGACTGCGTGAAGAGCAGCGTTAAAGAAGTAACGTTCGATGAAGCAAGGAAAATGCAATGTGACATCCGTAAAACATTGAGACTTGAACGAATGAAGAGATAAACGAAACAAACGAACAAAGAATACTGAAGAAATAAAATTTTGTGACGTCGACTGAGCGGCCCTTTACATCGACTTTTCGTAATAAAAAACTAGTCGTGTTTTTCTTGAATAAAAAAATATTTAGATGGCAATACGATTTTCTAATTGTCGATTACTTTTGTAACTGGTAAAGTGTTTGGCATAAAGTTTCTTTTTTTTGAGTTTTAAAGCGTTGATATCGACTCAAAGGGTTGAGAGGCCCAGGCCTTTCACTTTACCGTTGTGATCTTTAGAAATGTGGGGACGACGACATTTATTTGACGTGTACGACGACAAGTTACCCTTTTTTCTTTCTTCACAACCTCGCTCAGCGATGACTTCATTAAGTCGGGACC